ATGGTTGAATGCTGCTGCATCTAAAAGCCAGAGGGCGCTCTTGTGCAGAAACTCTAAATATGCCCCGCAGAGGAAGTACCATAACACGTAGTTCCAGGAAATGCCTATGGGCATCTTTCTATCACTGTACTTCAAGCCTTCTCAGGTATTTTCATGATAATAAAGTATATTTATAATGATGATGTTTGACAAGTCTTGCTTTTTCAAATGCACATTATAAGCAACTCAAACTCATAAGTGATTTCAGACGGAGCAGTACTTCCTACTGATCAAAGAGCCGTGCTTCACGGACAAGCCGCGCATAAAAACATAATCGCAGCCTTTGCGATATCATAATCGCAGGTCGATTTACGTGAGATTTAGTGTTAATCGCGATTTATCGCACAGCCCTATAAGAACACAAACAGCACTGGTCATTACCTCAAGACTAAAGACCTGTTCACACCATCATGAATGTTCAGAGTGAAAAGTAGTATTTGGTGTTGTTTGATAAACACAGCAAAAACAAAAATCTGCCTGAATATCAGACTGCATTTTGTGCCGAACGTTTGTGTTGGTGTAAACAGCCTTAAGAGTTTTTTTTCCCTCTTGTACAATGTACCTGGGGTGAAAAGATAAAGGTACCTTTGTGCACTGAGAAGCTCAGACAGCTCTTTTGCCCCCGATACCGTTTGGCCCACTGTCAGTCCGAGGGGCTTTCCTGACAAACCCACTGCACAGAAAACACCAATACAAATGTAAACACCTTGAGGTGGCAAGATACAGTCTAAGACACTAATTTTACGTGGGACTATGCATTAAGTGATTTTACTGAACAAGTACACTAACATTCAAAGGTTTGGGGTCAGTAAGTTTTTTTTTTAAATTAATACTTTTATTTAGCAAGGATGTATTAAGTTGATCAAAAGTAACAGTAAAGACATTTATAATGTTACAAAAGATTTCTATTTTAAATAAATGCCGTTCATTTGAACTTTCTATTCAAAGAATCCTGAATTAATGTAATCATGGCTTCCAAAAAATGAAGGAGACAACTGTTTTCAACATAGATGATAATCAGAAATGTTTATAATCATTATTATTATTATCAATTATTATGATTTCTGAAGGATCATGTGACAATGAAGACTTGAGTAATGATGCTGAAAATTCAAAATATTTTAAAACATAGTAAAAAAGAAAACTTACAGAAAACTAGAAGTTGTAAACAGTGGCGAGACATTCTTTCATAAAGGAGATAAATTGTAGCGCATGTTGTGTGTATCTGATTGACTTCCATAGTATTTTTTCCAGTAAATTATGACAATAACATTTTTGGGTGATCTATCCCTTTAAACTGAACAGCCAACTTTAATCAACTCACAAATCTGATTAATAAAGTCATCAATCTGCCTGAAAACTTCATAAATCTTCATTCCGCCCAAATGCATCAATATGCCGCACATAGTTTAACCAGCGGCTCAGTAGGCTGAATGAGGCCTTTGTTTTCATTACCTTCCTGAGAAGTTGAGCCAGCCGTATTTCCCACCGCTTCTCCGTGGGAGACGATGGTGACTTTGATCTTGGCTCTTTTGGAGGCTTTGGTGGGAGTGGGACTGGGCGTCTGTCTTCTCTTGAGGTGGAGCCTCAGGTCGTCTCGGTCCAAACCCTCCACCTGCTCACTGGGCACCGGCACTGAAACACACAATGCTGAAGAGTTAAGCACCAACAGTCTCCAACAACCTCTCAAGCTCACCGAGCGTTCAGAAGGAGCCAATACAGGTCATATGAAATCCTGCAGAGGTCAGTGGGTACAGATTAAGATGCTTTTAAAACATTCAGACCCAAAGTCATTTTGACATCAGTGTTTGGTTTGTGTGAAAGATGCTTTCAGAACTCCAGTGCACAAGAAGGAAATGCACTCAAGATTGCATAGTTCATATGATTTAGTAAATTTGCAATTTTAGTGTGAAAACTATCTGGCCTTTTTTTTTTTTCAGAAGTGAACCATTTCTCAATATTGCTGTTTTTGGTTGTTTTGATTGTCATTTATGATTGTTTTCTTCATTTATGTTTTGTTTGCTCATTTCCATAATATCAATTAGGGCTGCACGATAAATCGCATGCGATATTTAACGCAAACCCTCCACCTGCTCACTGGGCACCGGCACTGAAACACACAATGCTGAAGAGTTAAGCACCAACAGTCTCCAACAACCTCTCAAGCTCACCGAGCGTTCAGAAGGAGCCAATACAGGTCATATGAAATCCTGCAGAGGTCAGTGGGTACAGATTAAGATGCTTTTAAAACATTCAGACCCAAAGTCATTTTGACATCAGTGTTTGGTTTGTGTGAAAGATGCTTTCAGAACTCCAGTGCACAAGAAGGAAATGCACTCAAGATTGCATAGTTCATATGATTTAGTAAATTTGCAATTTTAGTGTGAAAACTATCTGGCCTTTTTTTTTTTTCAGAAGTGAACCAGTTACAGTATACTGTATTTGTCATTGCTGGTTGTATTGACAGAAATGGCTTTTGACGAGCGTCTTGCACTCCTTGCATTCCTTCCAATGCATTTCTGGCAGACAAACACAAATTATGTAGTAAAAACTTCAAGTCTGATAAAACTGATTTGGAGAAATAGCAATGTTTGTGTGAAATGAAACTCGTTTAATATCTAGTGTCTTCATTTTACATTTCGGTCACGAGTTTTCATTTTGGTGCATCACAGTTATTTGTACCACATTTCTGAACTAAAGAACACAATGTGAAAGATCTATGGGTTTAAGTGGATAGAACTGGAATTACATTTGAGTTTGGACAGTGCAATTGAACTAAATGTAAATCTTTAAATAAGCACTCAACTGAGCTGAACGTTTTGTTGGCCGATGCTGATATCTGGCCAATGGCCGATGTCACAATATTTAATTTAAAGATAATAAATTACACATGCATCATTTCTGCAATTAAATTCATATAAATTCATACATTTACTAATAATTAGCAGTATTTGAACTTTATACAAAAACTTCTATTAATCGTTTATTTCACAAAAATACAAGTTGTTATAAATATGAATAAATTGGAAATAAAAACTATAACCATTAATGTACTCGGTCTGTGTGCACTAGCCAGGTGACATTTTACATACAGCACACAGTGAATATGACAGAGGCAACTATATAAGTGCAGCATAGATTTAAACCAAGGATTTAATGTTGCTTGCTTATGCATGTCTAATGACATTTGAACTTTCCTGTCCGCATCTAATTCACACAGGATCCTTTGCATGGATGGACCATCACACATGTTTTATGCAGGTTGCAATGCACACTAGAAGATCTAACAGCTGGATTTGCAGAAGTTTGCTATTGTTTTTTAGATATTCAAAGACTTAAGAATGGCGACAGTATATGAAAAAGTATTATAGTGTATTGATTTCAATTATTAGACAGATCTGTTAAACAAAGACATTAATGAAGGCAGAGAATGGGAGCTGGATCCTACTTCCGATTCTTAACAGAAAAACAATTTGGCCGATGCCAATAATTAAAAAAAATATATATATATATAGGCCTAGGCGATTTATCAGTCAAATCCTACTTTAAATGTGCTTAAGGGTCAAAAGCCAAACAACGCACCTGTTAGGGAAAATAACAAAAAACTATGACTAGAGGGGTTTTTTTATTATGCATTTAAGCATTCACTATTGTTAGTTCCTTTAGCAAACACAAGCTGGTGAAACAGTAAAAGGGACATATGTGACACAGACATGACAGACAACCTTTAGTAAAGAAGGACAGACAAATGGGGCAGACTGATGGAAGACAGAAGGAAAAAGAGAGGGAGAGATACTCACCAAAGAGACATGAAGGGCTGCCAGGAGGAATGCTTTTCCTCACCAGCATATTATGTTTCATAAAAGCAGCGAACTGAGCTGTAGCGAACGGAAGACAAAGATGGAGAGAGTGAAGAAGGAAAGCAGAGGGGATAGAAAAGACAGGAATCACACACAACATTACTGCTTGATGGGATCTGAGACTCTCCTCAATATAGGGAGGATGTGACTGTAAATCCCAGAGGGTTAACGTTAGCTTTTCAACTGTAAACTGCGTAGCCCTTGTCATTTAACATGCACAGGCATCAGCAGAACAGCTCAGGGTTAAAAGAGGCCCATCAGACTTAACATGCCTCCGATACACACAGGATACACTTTTGCATTCAAAAACAAAAACAGAACTAAAAGCAAGGGACGAGAGACACATTACTACCGGTTTTGTTACCAGTGATGCATAAAATTGGTTGCCAGTCATATATTTTGTGCATTTATGTCTCACCAGGCAAAAACAGCCTTAGCACCACAAATAACAGCACAGACAAAAACGCGTCCTGTGTGTATGCTGTGTGGAGGGTTCTGGGGCTCAATCTGTGCAGTTACACACCTTGCGCTTGTTTGTGTGTGAGCACAGTTCCTGAGCGCTGCATGTGGGTCTTCAGCAGCTGTGTGGCAGTAATGAGACTGGATTTCTGAGCTGGAGAAAGTCCGACCATCTTGGGTTTGGGACTGGCTGTAGGACTGCTGCAGACACTGGACATATCCTGAAAGGGAAACATTATTGCAGAGGTCTGAATTACTTCACATGATCCATTGCCTCTTTATATGAACTAAAACTACATGTTCTGATTGGTTTTAGGCATGCTACTATGTGGTTACCAGAGTTTTTAGGGCCCTATGAATTCCGTGGTGTGGAAAAAGCGTAAAGAAACAAAGAAATCCTAAAAATGGAATTTACAGTATACCACAGAGTTTGGCAAATTTTGAATGAATAAATTAAAAGTAGAGCTTTACACTTAAATTAAAATAAATAATAATCTAATAATCATCATCATCACTTTTTTTTTCTTTAAGGAATAATCACAATTTTTCTTCAATGTTTTAATTTAAAGAGTAAATCTCTGTTTTGCAGCACTTTGCCAAAAAATAAAAGATTTGTATTTGATTACATGTTGAAAGATTGCTAATGCGTTATGTCTTCATTTGCCCACCGTTTATGATAATAAATTTGTTTTAAATCATAAATCCAGAAAACAAGTGTACTTTTTATTAATATTGTGTATATATATATATATATATATATATATATAAACAGTAAATCGTATACGTTTTATTATTTCAATTAATTAGACATTCTTTTTGATTACCACAATTTAATTTAGCCATTAAAATAGAATCCAGAAAAAGAAAAAAAAAAACTAAAACATAATTTGGGAAAAATAAAACCGAATAGAACGGAATAGAAGTTTTCTACGTAGATGAGGATAAAGCTGACAAAGCTTACACATATCTCCTGGTGTATCCAACATTTGTGACCCTGGACCACAAAACCAGTCATAAGGGTAAATTTTTTGAAATTGAGGGAACATGATCTTTACTTAATATCCTAATGATTTTTGGCATAAAAGAAAAATCTGTAAGTTTGACTCGTACAATGTTTTTTTGGCTATTGCTACAAATATACCCAAGCGACTTAAGACTGGTTTTGTGCTCCAGGGTCACATTTGTTTTCAAAATCTTCTCACCTCAGATCCAGATGGGGAGATGGATACCCTCACAGCAGGTGAAGAGGGTCGTGACCTCTCAAGGTCAAAGGGCAGCTCACGACGAGGTTTCTTCTTCTTCTCTGCATCCAAATCTCGAGTCTCACCGGAGCCATGGCCATGGCTCTCAGTACGGGTCAAAACTCCTGTCAGAAAATCAACTATCTCATCCTGAAAACAAAAGGGAAAAAAAGTCTGTGGCTAAACACTATAGAGGACACACAAGACCGAGCAGTCAGCTTTCCCTAAAATTAGACTTTAGCTGGTTCTGACCTTTAATTTCACCCTGAATGACATGTGAAATCAAGCTTAACTGATTTGAATACTATGCTTATTAATTTTGTGGGGAAGAGAAGTGAGAAGTACTGACTTGAATGCAGCGATCCACCATGGTCTGGGTCAGGCCTTCCGTCTTCATCTTAGTGGAGTTGATCCTGTAAACAAAGCCGAATGCTTTCAACCAGTCTATACAGAGTGCTTCCCCAGAAACACACACGTGAATGTCTGAAGACACAAACACAAACCTCAAGTTGTCGTCTGACCCTCCAACAACTACCATGCTGTTATCAGCCTGAATCTTCTCCCTGAACTCCTCCATGTTCTCAGGACTGCACTGAAGTGCGTTCTGACCGACCACAAACAGCACTGGAGTCTTCATGTCCAATAGCGGATCATCAACATCCTGACAAACACAGTCCAAACATTATACTTCAGCCAGCAATCTTTAAAGCATCTGCTAAATGTTCTCATGCTGCTCATCATGGCAAAGAGCAGGGAGAAACTATGAACTGTGTTTCCTCTTACCCCTCGGGGCCCATTGACAGTTTGGAGGGGGAAACCCAAACACACAACAGCAGTCACATACTCCATAAGGGACACCTGGACACAAACACAGACATCTATAAATTCATCAGTTTACAGCTGATCATAGACAATGCAGAAAACTAATGTTGAGAGAGACTTACATGACAAGAGATCAATGACCCCACATTCCAGCCCACCAAGACGATCGGCTTGTGAGGGAAGTGACTGTGAACCTAGAGCAAAAGAACACAATTATCTTTAAACATACTTCATGTTTAGTTTTTTTCCCCATCACCAAATATTATTTTTTTGGCACGAACATGATAATTTAAAATGACATACAATGACAGATAATTAAAAAAAATAATAATAATTGTCAAATTAAGCGTTAGCGTTAGTTCTGGCAGGTCACGTCAGTCAAGCTTGCATCAGCTGATTCTCAGCTGATCACATCTACCTATAGGAATACGACACCTATAGCGGCATTCCTATATAAGCTCTATTCAGTATTATTCAGCAGCTTTTCAGCTTGCTCAGGAGCAAATTACCCTCCACCATCCCCAGCTCCTCCTTTCGCCACAGTCAGGACTTGGCTTTCTAATATTCCTTGCTAATCAGACTCCTTTATCTTGAATAAAGTGTTACACTTAAATATCATTAAGTACATTAATGATATCTGCCTTGTTCTGTTCTGTTAACCCTAGGGGGGTTATTATTGCTGCTCTCCCTGCTCATTCATGACAGGCTGCATGGATGGGCAGGGAGTTTTTTGCCCAGAACAGAACCATACCGCCAAACCAAACTTTATGCTAAGTATCTATCATTTTGACGATAGTGGTCCTGACAGAACTGTTATTAAAAGCAGGACATTTTAGTAAAATATGTCATTTATAAACAAATTAATCATTTTAAAATAAACAATTCAACAACTTTATATAAATTATATCCAGTATTCAGCTGTGTAAAAATTTTTTCCCATACTTTACAAACTGTGGCTTGTTATTATTTTCTGTGGTATTCTAGACCAATTCCACAAATAAGTGCTCTCTATAAATTTATTTGTACAAACGATTAAGGAATATAAGAATATGCCTTTAATTTCTTATAATTACTAGACAATCACAAATTGATAACAAAATAAATTTAGGACATCTAGATGGACAAGAACAGCATTTATCTGACGTGATCAGCAAAGAAAAAAAAAAAGAAGAAGAAGAAAAACCTTGTAAATTCTTATACAATAATAATATATTTCAGAAAACAACAGTAAAATTACAATACTAATATTTATGTCTTAAAGGTGCACTAAGCGATTTTTGAAAAACCCTTTTGACCACATTGTCAGACCGTGTCCCAAAACACTCGCAGCCAATCAGCAATAAGGGGCGTGTCTAGTAATGATAGGGAGAAGAGAGCGCTCAGTGAGTACACAGGACGGATATTAGCAGATCGACTATAGATAGCGAGAGATCACAGATAAAAATAAATAAAAGAGGAAAATTTCAGAGGAACAAAACATTAAAAAGGAGGGTTACGATCAGGCAAGAGGTAGGACCCGCGTAAATATTGGAGCATCTTTCCAGCGGTGGAGAAACTCAAGGAGCGTGAAGGCCTGGAATCGGATGCCGAGGTTGCTTTGCTTTCAAAAGTTTATGTGCAGACCTTAAAGCTTTCCTTTTGTTGATAACAAATTTGGGAAGATGGTTGGCACGTGCTGCATTTTCAACCCAAACTCACAGCACTTGTAGAGCAGCATTTTCTGTGAAGCGCTCCAGGACACTGAAAACACTGGATCATGAGCTGCTCGCTTGTTACTGAACACAGTACCATGCTGCACTCTGAAACATGCACAGGTTACTGGCCGGATGACACGTATCACTGATTTATATACTCGCCAACACTGGGTTTTTTACATTTGCTGCTAAGAATGTGTTCATTTTGAACACTGTCTGAGTGCTGTTGAAAGTTACACTAAGCATAAAATAAATGCATTTTAAATGTATCTGAAAATGCAGCCAATTTTCCTCATATATTAAAGTGACGTGACATGTGGCCAAGTATGGTGACCCATACTTGGAATTAGTGCTCTGCATTTAACCCATCCAAAGTGCACACACACAGCAGTGAACACACACACACCGTGAACACACACCCGGAGCAGTGGGCAGCCATTTATGCTGCGGCGCCCGGGGAGCAGTTGGGGGTTCAGTGCCTTGCTCAAGGGCACCTCAGTCGTGGTATTGAAGGTGGGAGAGAGCGCTGTACATTCACTCCCCCCACCTACAATCCCTGCCAGTACAAGACTCGAACCCACAACCTTTGGGTTACAAGTCCGACTCTCTAACCATTAGGCCACGACTTCCCCCATGTGATTGGCTACATTATATACAATTCACATGGATCATACACCTGAGATCAGAAAAATCACATCGCTGACTTCTATAGTTTTCTCTAAGTGAAAGTGTCATTGGCTAGCTAGAGCTGTGTGTTGTTTTGTACCTCAATGACTTTTCCTCTGACTGTGCCGATCATGTGCTCTACACACTGCGTGATTCCGATGTTGGCTCCACTGCCCACATGAACGTTAATGGGAATGACCTGAATCACCAAAACAGACAGACACAAAATGCAGAATCAGTTTTATTTCAATCAGAAACTGAAAGGACTCTATGAATGCAAGAATAACATTAACACAATATTTTATTTACAAATGATGTTAATCTCAATGAAACCAAGCCTACATCTGAAATTATGATGGAGAACACAAAATCGAAGTGTTTGAGACAGCTGTATTTGCCTGTGATTCTGCATACCTTCCCTAAACAGGAGAGCTGAGACTGCCAGAATCTCATTCGTCGGGAGGTAGAGAAGGTGGGATTTGTTGGTCCTGAAGGGGCTATCAGGATCAGGGGGGATCCAGGAAGTTTACTCTGAAATAATAAACATGAGCACACAAATCAGATTCAGACAGCAATCAAGACATCCATCAGGAGTATAGCAGACATTTCCTGTTAAAGACTTTTATATTACACAAATACTACCACAAACAAATATCTCCCATTCTCAATAACCCTGTAAAGCCTGACATATGAAATTAGTATGAAATATGAAATTTTTTTAATTGAAGTTTATTGAACCTTCAGACAAAACATTAAAAATGAATCTTCAAAACAAATTTGATGCAGATGCTGGTATTCATATAGCCAAAAAGTGAGATTAAATTCTGATAGCTTGTAATGTGAATCAGTGGGATATTCATAACAGTATAGCAGACCACTTACACCAAATGCATATCAATTTCAGTTGTTACTCTCTCTCTCTCTATATATATATATATATATATATATATATAATAATTTATAATAGAAGTTATATTAAAAATATAAAATTGAAGTCTAAATATAATTGGTTCACATTATCAAATAGTTTGTTTGCTAAATGTGAGAACAGCCAAAACCCCTGCAGATATACATTCCGGGGCTCAGCTAAATCGATTCAAAGGTGCTTTTATTTATATATATAACAAAATGTCTTTAAGATAATATTTAAATGTTTAGTTTTATAATCAAAGCGCTGCTATTTTTATTATGGGGTCAAACAAATAATGCAATGCAATACAATGATAGTTGAGAGCAGTGTTGTGCAAGTTACTCTGGAAATGTAATTAAAATGACAGATTACCGATTACTCCCCTTTTAAAAATAATCAAGTTCTGATTAATTTATTTCAAAAGTATTTAGTTACATTATTAGTTACGTTACTTTTGTCTGTACATCAATGAAATTGACATGAAATAGTAAGTTTCATGACGCCTAGTAGGCTTGCCGTGATAGACGGTGTTGACGGTGATACCGGTGTTAAGCCGCAACACCGGTTACGTCACTTGCCCACCGCGGCACCGACCCCCACAATTGCCGCTATTTCAAAGTGAAAGTAAAATGCGCACGCCGCTTTTACAAGCTATTTAAAAGCGAAGGAAAGCTAGAAAAAGAGGGAACGCCCCCGCGGTGATACCGGTATTACCGGTGTTGTCACACGTCGATTAACCGGTGGGAAAATTTCCTCACCGTCACAACCCTAACGCCTAACCACAAAATCCCAGCATAAACGCTCCTGATAAAATATGTGTTATTAAAGCATCAACATTCAAAACCCACTGTTATTTTTAACTAAAAGCAAGCATAGGCTGCGGCGTGCATGGTTTGGAATGGCAGAATGCGAGCAAAGAGCGCTCCCTTTATAATCTCTAAAAAGCTGACATCTCAGTTCATCGCGATCTCACAAAGCTCTGTTATACCACAATGAATATATGTACAATGAATCGTTCATAATAATGCTCATAATTCGTGTGTTAATGAGAGGATTCGTGAGCACGCAAATTTCAGCACTGCACAGGAACTCCGGCGTTTGAGCGGTGAGTGGATTAACGCTTGCGCATTTTTAGTTTATATTAGTTGTTCTTGTTACAATAGATGAATAAAAATGTATTTGTTTTGTTTGTTTTGA